CCCAGCTTTGATTACTTGATTATTCTATAAGTGGTACACAACCCATTTTCTAGCAGATCGGCATTCCAGTTTTGTGTATACATGTCCGATAATCTAAGTTTTATCGCTTGCTTAAGCCACGTTCTATTTACATTTGATCCAATCTGCCAAAGATTTGACATACCAGCCGTATCCAGAACACCTTTAATTTTTAACATCCAGGCTGATTTGTATATATCTCTGTCATGTAACATTCTATTCTATGTGATAATTTGCAAGATTTACTTTGTATAATACTACTCCAAAAATGTATCATTCTAATTTCCACCTACTTACGAAGGGGACATACCCCAAGTTCACCGTATACCATACAATTTGCAGTATTTTTGTGTACATTGAGAAGCCGTTTACAAAACTTTAGATAAAAAGATTCTATCTGAGAAAGATCAGCATGACCCCCATATTTCACATCCATACAATAATGTCGATGGGTAGACATAATTTTTTTGCCTTCATCAGTAAGCTAAACATGGCACGTCTGGCCTGGTTTGTCTGTTTACATATTGCTTTCCTGAATTTGTTATTATAACTGAATGTTATGCCAAGATAAATATAGTCAAATGTTACTTCAATAGTTTCATTGCCAAACTTAAACGCAGTATACTTTTTAACTCTCCCACGCGAGAAAATAACAACCTTCGTTTTATTAGCATTTACATTTATTGCAATAAGTATAAACAGCATTTAGTGCAGATTGCAATTCTGCTTCAGATTCAAACAGTACAATGGTATCATCGGCATATAATAAAGTGAATAACTTAAGAAATACTTCTCTATCCCCATTACTTAAATATGTTTTAATCTCGCTAGCCATATATTTTAGACCATTATAGTGCTTACTGATAAAATACTCAAAATCGTTAGTAATGATGACATAAGTCAAAATCAATAATTATACTTTTAAACTGAAAATTGTCATATATATATTGCCTCTATTGATTAGGTTGAACACATGTTTTATGTTACAATTTTATTTTTACTACTTTCCATAATCTTCTCAATAATTGTATGTTTGCAGATAACCATGGACATTGCTTTGGATTTGGCTGATTACTATATTTTCACTCCATATATATATCCTTCCAGTTGGCCAGAGAATGATTTGATTCGGCAGTTTATTAGTTTATTAATAATAGTAAATATTGGTGGCTATGTGCTATATTTATCAACTGCAACACTCAGTTACTTTTTTATTTATGATCATCGATTATTAAAACATCCACAGATTCTCGAGGTAAGTTTTTAGCTCCGCTGTCGATTTTGTCCTCGCCGTCCAAGTCAATGTTTTACTTTTTCGACTTCTTGAAAACTACAAGCCTGAATGCTTTGATACTTGGTGTATATGTACTTTGGGTAGACCTCTTTTAGATTTGCTCATTTCATAATGATATCTTCAATTCTCTAATTTTGGTGAATATTTTTGTCATTTTTGGTAAAAAGAGATATTTTCAACTTCTTGTTAAAAACCGTCTGCTTTTATAATACATATATAGGTACTACATGTGAACCTCTTTCAGATTTGTCAATTTCGTGGTGATATCTTCAATTACCTAATTTTGATGATTATTTTTGTCATTTTTCGTGAAAAGTGATATTTTTGAATTCTTGTTGAAAAACAAGTCCTGTTGCTTTAATACTGTACATATTGTTCACTTTCTAATGATAACTTCTGCTCTTTAATTGAAATGTGCATTGCTAACAGCGGAGCTATCTCAGCCGACAGGCTGCTTGTTTTATTATCTATCAGCTATATTCACACCCACTGTCTACGTATCTATCAGCTATATTCACACCCACTGTCTACGTATCTATCAGCTATATTCACACCCAATGTCTACTTATCTATCAGCTATATTCACACCCACTGTCTACGTATCTATCAGTTATATTCACACCCAATGGTTACGTATCTATCAGCTATATTCACACCCAATGTCTACTTATCTATCAGCTATATTCACACCCACTGTCTACGTATCTATCAGCTATTTTCACACCCAATGTCTACTTATCTATCAGCTATATTCACACCCACTGTCTACTTATCTATCAGCTATATTCACACCCACTGTCTACATATCTATCAGCTATTTTCACACCCAATGTCTACTTATCTATCAGCTATATTCACACCCAATGTCTACTTATCTATCAGCTATATTCACACCCACTGTCTACATATCTATCAGCTATATTCACACCCACTGTCTACATATCTATCAGCTATATTCACACCCACTGTCTACGTATCTATCAGCTATATTCACACCCACTGTCTACGTATCTATCAGCTATATTCACACCCACTGTCTACTTATCTATCAGTTATATTCACACCCAATGTCTACTTATCTATCAGCTATTTTCACACCCACTGTCTACTTATCTATCAGTTATATTCACAGCCACTGTCTACTTATCTATCAGTTATATTCACACCCAATGTCTACGTATCTATTAGCTATATTCACACCCAATGTCTACGTATCTCTCAGCTATATTCACACCCACTGTCTACTTAACTATCAGATAGAAACTATGTCTATGTAAATGATTCATTATTTTCCAGAATCAAGTTGCTAAGGAAATATCATACACTTTAAAGTCATTAATATGGATGAGTTTTCCAACATGTCTCCTTTTTTTACTGGAAGTCCATGGGTATAGCAACTTGTATGACGACATTCACCAGTCAAAGTTGGGTAAGTGGTGTTGATGCCTTCTTCTTGTGTGTCAGAAATATAATACTATTATGGACATGTAAACCAGTTTACCTTTAAATGTTGTACATTATGAAATTTCCCACTATGAGCCTTATAAACAAAATTAAAAAATTAGTCAAGATCATGGTCAGAGAGATGTACCACATTAATGTTTGGAGTCAGCACCCCCGGTGCGCTCAGAAGACCAATACTTCATTGTGTACCGATAGTATTCAATTTTCATAAAACATGAACTCCTATATTTATGATGAATGTGCCAAATATGAATGGTTTAAATACAAAGCATGCCTATGATACCACATTTTCAAAAAAAGATGGCTGCCAGTCGGCCACCTTTGATGGAATCACTAAACCACTGCATATCCACATGTTCCACATTATGTAATAATAATTATCTTTATTGCGTTCGTATCCCTATTAGCATTTTAACTAAAATGCAATACAGATGTGAATAAAGACAAAAACAATTAAAGTGAGAATGAAAATACACAGAGGAAAATAAACTGACAAACAAATAAAAGTAGGGGGGGGGGAAGTAAATTGGATGAAAGTACATGAATGGAAATGAATGATTTGGTCTAGAGGGTTCTGAAATACGACTTTGGACGGACAGAGATTGAATTATAAACGGAATATTAAATTTCATTTGATATGTTCCTTGTAAATGGCCACAAAAGGTAAAGTATTCTTGTGCATTACCAAATGACAACTTTATCTGCTGATATAATGTATAATTGCAATAGACTTTCTGGTGTAAATATTTTAAAGTAAAAGGCCTAAGTAAAATTCAATTCAACTAAAACAAGTCATTGTCAATGACACGTCCCCGTTCCGTTCATATTTGAGTGACATATACATTCAAAGCAGATCATGACCGAAATGCACCTGCATATGTACAACACATTGTTCTAAATCTGAACAAAATCCATCCATGCATGACTGAGATCAGGTTCCGGAATTGTGAAAATACGTGATTTTGATGCATTTTCGGCCTTAAAATGGCCATCATTCAGCTATTGTTAAGCGGATCATGAAACAAATGCACATATCTATTTGTGACATGATGTACCATGTGTGTGTGAAGTTTGAACTTGATCAATCCAGACATGTCTTGGATACGGATCCAGAACTGAATTTATTAAAACAAAATGGCCGCCAGTCGGCCATTTCGAACTTGATCCGAAAAAAAAATGACGTGCATCAAGGTCCTATTATGTTTAATGTATGTACCAAATTTGAACGAAATCCGTCTATGCATAACTGAGATCCGGGTCCGGAATGGTGAAAATGTGTGATTTTGATGCATTTTCGGCCTTAAAATGGCCGCTTTTCGGCTATCATTAATCGGATCATGAAAAAAATGCATGTGCATATGTCCCATATAATGTGTGATGTATGAGTGAAGTTTGAACTTAATCAGTCCATGCATGTTAGAGATACAGGTACGCACGGACGGACGCACGCACGGCAAAACATAAGTCCCCGTTTTCGGACTACGTCCGAACGGGGACTAATAAAATGTACTGTTTTGTTTCAGGTCATTTCAGTATTGTGGTTGATACAGTAAGTTTCCTGTTCTTCACAGATATGTTAATATATTGGATTCATCGCTACCTACACCATCCATGGTTATACCGTTATATACATAAACCCCATCATAAATGGAAGATACCTACACCATTTGCAAGTCATGCTTTCCATCCAATCGATGGTTTCCTACAAAGTTGCCCATACCATATTTATCCATTTCTCTTTCCATTACATAAGTATGTTTACCTGGCATTATTTGTATTTGTCAATATTTGGACAGTCAGTATTCACGATGGTGACTTCAGAGTTCCTAAAGTGATTGAACCAATTATAAATGGATCAGCACACCACACAGATCATCATCTGTTTTTCAATTATAACTATGGTCAGTTTTTCACTTTATGGGATAGATTTGGTGGATCGTTTCGTTATCCATCTGCTTTTGAGGGCACTGGACCATTAACTGATGTATTGAAACTGCAAGAATGTGCAGCTAAAAAAAAAGATTAAGCGTTTATAATTTATGTTTGAATTAGATTGCGTTGATGAGAATTGTTGTAATTAATATCTATAGATTACAATACATTTTTACTTCTAATGATAATGAAGTGGTGTGGTATGTCATTGTCATCATTACATTTTTTGTGACTAGATTAACTTGAGTAATTTCTCCCCAGTCTTTCTCAAACTTTCCAATCGTATTGACCAATGTATAATCTTGGTACAGCAAGAGTTTGGTGTACACAACTTGTATATTTTTGGAGGTATTGATAAAAATGTGCCTCATTAGCTAAAATAGGAGGAGAATAATAATGTAACAGATGTTTGACTCTGAATGGAAACATGTAAACAACAAGTGCTAATGGATACTGACTGTCTTGAAAGTTCAACTTAAGTATAGAAAAAAGAAAACATAATGTGGATAATGTACATCTTTATATTTACCTTGCCTGTATTTGATGAAGGGAAGGTTCATGAGAGGGAAATGTTTTTTTCTGCATTTTTGTTTTCGTCTTAAATAATTGTTTCTTGTAGTTATAATAACTCACTTTTCAAGCTGTATGTGAATATTGGACTAAAATAAGTGCAGAAATGAAGACACTTGAACTGCTGAAGACCAGTTACTTTTATAACATAGTAACCAAGTCACGTGTCAATCATTATTGACGCCATTTTTATATTTTCCTGTCATTCTTTGAGAGACCATGAGATTAATGTTATTAAATTTATGTTTCCATGGATCGAGTCAGATATTCACTTGTCAATTCAAGTCATCCTCCACTTTTTAGTGACTGTCAACATTATTGCTAAATAATTATTTACACTCGTATGACAGACATGATACAAAAGTGAAGCCTGTTTATTTGTGTAATTTCTTCTGCCCATAATGCAGTTCTCTACTGAACTGAAAGTCCAGTGAATTCCCAACAAATGCCCCTGCTTCTATCCTCTACCCCCAAAAATAAATTCATTTGATTTAACAGTTATTTTATTGAGTTTGCAATCATTACGACATGAATCATAGTATAGTTCACAAATCATTGGCAAAGTGATCAATAGATTTACTATGTTTTTGCAGTCATGACAAATTTGTTTATGGCAGTTCCCTTACCAACATGTTGACCTTGTGAATAAATTTTTTTCAAATATCAAGCTTGCAGGTGTTGAGATAGATTGAAGATGTACATTATTCAGAATGTATTTTATGATCTTGTTCCATAGACCTTGGAATGAGAGGGTCAGGGCAGCTCTGGTGTTTCCAGTTCCTCAAAATAAGCTTTCAATCCATTTAACATATGTGTATTTGTACTGTCAACAAAACTCTCCAGATTAACAAAGAAATGTTATGCCTATTTACCACAATATTTCAATGTAACAAAGTCCCTCTCATTCTACAGTATATGTATACCACATTTTGCCCTATACCCCGCCTGCTCATGGTGATGTTTTTTCAGTGTGATCTTTTGGCATTTATTTCTGCGAAAATATTAAGCATTTTTTTCAACCAAAAGACCCACCTGCCAAAACATTGTCCATTGGTGAGGTTTTGAATGCAAAATTTATCAGACAAACATGGTATCAATTTCTGAGCCTTGTCAATGCTTGTTTGTAATTATTTAATAAAACAAAATACATGTAATTAGTCCTTACTTACATCATTCTTTATTTCTTGTTTGTGTCATTAGTGGTATTAATAGAGTTATAAACGAGTATCATGTCTTACAGATGACATCATCTTAATTCCTGAAAATCTCATTTGTCCTACAAATACACCAGTCATAATACCATGTTCTCTTTGCAGAACCTGATGGTTAAGGTAGAAGTCTACTCATAAATTTGACAAAATTGATCATTGGTTTATTATGTACAATTATGAAGCTATTGTCCAAATAGCACAGTGAAATAGCATTTGAGTAACTTGTCCTAATATTTTTTTGAACAATTCCATAGAAGACACTGTTAAAAAAAATTGCATTTTTTTGATACTTTAAAACCCCAATTTTTGAAAAAATTCAGAACAAGAAGTACTCCATCATTATTAACAATATATGATTGTCTATGTCACCAGGCTAGATTTTGAGATACTGTATTGCATATTTCTGCCATAAGAACCTATGGTAAATGCACTATAATAGTGCCAAAATGGCCACTATCCATTAAAATATAGCCATCAATTTCTCGAAAAAAAGGCTGGTGACCCATTGCCTTGGAGTACAGTTTATTGCAAAAAATACAATTTCATTTTTGAGTAGGATTCTACTTTAAGACGTGATAAAATACACCTATCAATCAGTGTGGTTATTTCCATTACAGAGAATCAATTCACATTTTTGTTCTGGTTAGTCATTTTCTAATTCAAATCATAGGTCCCACATCCAGGCATTGTCAGTATAGTTATGCTAGAGTATATTTGGTGTGTAGCAGAAAAATATACCACAGCAATCACAACTGTACAGATGACAAGATGTCCGAGTTCCAGTAAAGGAGATCATCTTTGATTGGCAGATAGCATGTCTGAGTTCCAGTAAATGAGATCATCTTTGATTGGCAGATAGCATGTCTGAGTTCCAGTAAATGAGATCATCTTTGATTGGCAGATAGCATGTCTGAGTTCCAGTAAATGAGGTCATCTTTGATTGGCAGATAGTATCATTAGTCCTAGTGATGTCATCAAGTATATGGCACCAGGTAAACATAGATAGCGAAGATCTAACCTAACCAGAAAACAAAACATAGATTAATAATATATCAACATCACAATAATGCTAGATTATACTATATCAAAGAGACTTTAAGTACACAAATAATTACTTGACAAATGGAAAAACTACTTTTTTAAATTGTTTTCATTTCAAAATTATTTTTGTTTATGAACCTTTTCCTCTTGGAAGATTTGAATAACAGACAGTTTAAATACACATTTTAATGATCCATCATACAATACTGCTTTTACTGCGCTACCTTATCTCTATCCATTCAGAGCATTGGATAAACTCAATGGGCTAACTGTTCAGCCCTAGTTCAGAATGTTAGAATCCTAATAAAATCAGCCACCTCAGGGGTTCAGTGTCTCCTATCCCTTGTTCTATTTTTCCCCCCAAGAGAAAGCTACCGTAAAAACTCCAAATTTCCGACCACCTAATTATTTTGCTGGTTTATTGGCTTTTAAAATTTCAACTGAATAGCGCTGTTTGTAACTAATTTTGTCAACCTCAGATTTGTCTTCTTAGACCTGTGGTTTGACCCTGGTTTTAATTAATGAAAACAGAAACTATTAAACTGACTGGACATGGTGTTAGTGACACTGGAAGAATGTAAACATCACACAAACTATCACTACTCCCGTAAACATACACACAAAAATAACTTATTTTTCCAAAGTTCTAACAGCATTGCTTATTATTCAGGCATGGTTTGATATTTCTTTGGTTTGCTATGAAATATATGTAATTCAAGTTTTTTCTATCATATAAGCATGTTTTTGGACACACAATCTATCCTGTATAAATGCTGAAATCTGCTATGTTATCCAGAACAAGAGTTGATCTACCATGTTGCCCTCAACTAACCAACCAACTAACTAACATGGTATTACCGACATATTCAGAGTAGTGGAGATCACAAAGAATCCATCCAGTTATCAAAGTATGACCTGTTGGCATTGGTTTGACGTTTTTTAAAGAGGTGATTACTGATTAGCCTATATTTAAAGGTAAAACTGATAGTGTTTTAACAGCTTTCATGATAACAAATGAAATGCATTAATTCTGCAAGTTTTTTCAGCCATGCTAACTATTTTTAATCTGTTTTCTTTTGCACATAAATGTTGCAAATGAATGAGTTTCAACAGAAGTTTTGTTTTTGTATTCACTCCAAAAATTCAACCAGTTCAATGAAATTTTGATTTCAAAAACACAACCACCCCAACAAATTTAAAAGTGGCCGAAATTTAAGAGTTTTACAAAAGTCCAAAAGTAGAGCCTGAAAAGTACCTTTTAGAAGATTCTGAAGTGAAGGATACAATCCATACAAAGACAAGAATGCTTCCCACTCGCTTTAGATGGGGAAGCATTATTACTTCATGTCGGTTAGGTGGGGTGTTATATAACACCACATGGATCAAGTCACCAAAGACTAGGCTAGCAGGGTCACTAAGAACATGATTCATCAGTATGCCAAGGCATCGGAATTGGAGTGTAATGAGACTATGAGTACGGTAATCTTTTGCATGCTGCAATTAGCTTGAATTATCAACATACATGTAAGTAACACACCAGTAGGGGTGGGTACTACTGATCAAAATTTTGGGTTTTTATTACGTTATAAAAATGTGAGCACAAGAGGGTGCAATGACTAGGACTTGGACAGACTCAGCTAGGTTGCAAGTAGATAATTCTGAATCCTGG